AGGAATGGTATTGTCCACTTAAAAAGTGTCTCAAAGGAAGTATGGAGTGAATTCTTCGCGATACAAAGAATCTTTTCTCATCTGTGAAACAATCTAAATTGAAATACTCAACAGTCTTACACCTGCAGATGTTGAGTTCTCTTTAGACAATGTCTCGCTACACACTTACCTCGTAAAAATTCCAGATATGTGCCATAGATAATAAAGAGCTTGATGTCATCACACCAGTAATTTGTATGATTGCTGTGATTGCCGAGTGCACTAAACTCGATGAGTACTTCGAGTTCTCGCATATCATCATCCAAAGCCAGACTGATATAGTGTTTAGTCGAACCTGTATACAAAATGTGTATCGTAGTCGGTGTTAGTATACTGAAACTTACTTAATTTTTTCTGAGCGCGAATGTGTCCGATATTGCTAATTCCTCTCAATTGGATGGATACACCAATGCTCATACTTGCACTCAATATGGCTTGGGAGTATGGCCAAGAATTCGAGTCCCACTTGTCTGATAAATTGACACGTTGTAACATAGTAGCTCCCGTATTATATGATTGCAAAACGAAATGACAGTTACTCATATTCTTATCTGATATCATTGTAGTGACATTGCCAGTTTGTAATATCCAACTGTTAACAAGAGAAGTGTTGCAAACAGCTTGACCATTGTTAATCATGTTCGTATCACTGGCAAGTGTATTGTTGGGTAGTAAAGCATCTTGAATCGAGAGAGCACTTTTTAGTTGACTGTCTTTAATTTTGGCGTTCCTAAAATCAGCCTTGTACAGATTGGCATGGAGAAAACTAACGTTAGTCATGTCAGCTCTTGCGAATGAAGCACGCTTAACATTTGAGTGCCAAAAGTTAGAATAAGATAAAGTAGCATCATCGAAACAAGCTACAACACAAGTCGTTTGTTGAAAATTCGTATAAGATGCTTTGGCACGAGAGAATATGGCTGAAGCTAAAGGGCAATTGAAAAATAAATTTCATGAAAAAAAGCAAAACTATTATAAACATTACCTAAAATAGCGGATGAAAAGTTGACATTGACAAGTTGAACATCTGAAAAGTCAGCATAGCTAAGTTCAGCAGATGAAAAGTCGACATTATGGAGTGTAGTGCGCACGAAACTGGCATTGACCAGCCGCGCATATGAAAAATTGATATTGAAAAGCGAAGCGAATGAAAAATCAACATTGTTATGTAAGGTGAATGAAAAATCGATATTTTCGAGTCGTGCATATGAAAAATCGGCATTGAAGAGCAGAGCGGATGAAAAATTCACATGCTCGAGTCGAGTCGATGACAAGCAGGCATTAAAGATTGAAACGAATGAAAAATTAGCATTAAAGAGAGAGCTGAATGAAAAGTTAATAGTATCGAGTTGAGTGGATGAAAAGTTAGCATTGTCGAAGTTAGAGGATGAAAAATTGACATTGCGAAGTGTTCCAGATGAAAAGTTAACAGTGTTAAACTCAGTATTAGCGAAATTGACGTGCTCCATATCAATGCCTACAAATGTTGCATTTGATAGAAAGATACCAGTCAATGATAAGTTGTTTAATTTCTTTTTATTGATTGCTGTATTACGAAAATCTATATCACGAAGTTCTGCTGTTGATAGATCCAGTGAAGAATTTTTGTGTATTCCAGTAAGTTGTTTGGCTTCGTAGAGAAATCGAACAATTTGAATGTTACGCTGTGTATCTAGTTGACGAAGGATAGTCAGAGTTTTAGCTCGAGCAACAGTAGCCGTAACTTCATCAGCTGTGAGTGAACCATTGCTCTTTTCCAATAATGTAGCCATATCATTAATATAAGCAACAAGTAACTCGTCTCGATACCGCTCAGTTGTTAGTTGACGCTGAAATTCATTCGATCGATTTGCCGTCTTCTCTTCTACTTGGCGCTGTTCTCTCAATTCATTGAGATCTTCAAGTCGTTGTTCTCGGATCATTTTTTGTTGATGAAAAGTGATGACAATAGTGAAAATACCCAAAACAAGTGGAATAATTAGTGAGGAAATCAATTGAAGTGCATCCTTTGCCGCTAAACACTGGCATCTTCGATATTGGCGACGGTGTTGATTTGTTTGTGTTGCTTGCTTTTGAGTGGCCATCTTGTTTAGTGACTGTTGCACGAATACTATTCTAGTCAGTAAGTACGACGAAGCTGTCAACTATCTTTTTTATTATTTGATGTGTACAGAACATATTTTACTACCAAAAGACAAGGGAGAGAGAGAGAGAGAGAGAGAGAGCACAAAATAAATAGTTGTCTTTTTATTAAAATTGTAATTCGATGACATTATGATCTTTGATCATGTCTATAAGGATTGTTGATGGCATACAGCATGCATA